AATTTAAACATATATCAATATCAGCAGACCATATGCCCTGATAGATACTAACATAGATAAATACTAACAGCTTCATATCTGGCGTTGCTTAGGAATTCTAACCCCCCCCCCAAAAAAAATGTGTTGTTTTGAAAGGTTCGGTCCATCATGTTAATCCAGTTGTCTCCAAAAGAGATGAAATCCTTCCACTTGATCTCAGGAACTTTATACAGAATTGGGTTATGATTCCTTCACAGGTGTCCAAATGCATAGGATACAATGAATTTTCAAAAATATATACTAGGCCATTGCCATACATCCAGATTTTCCCAGACATATATACGGAATACTGCAGTCGGCTGCAGTAAATCTTACAAATGTCCGGGGGAAATCCGGATGTATGGCAACTTATGTTGGCAGTGCCGTTTTTGCTGTATTTCCATAAAAAAAGCTCAGAAGTGGCATTTTTAAAAGCAGTTTTGTCCCAAAAGCTCAACCACTGTCTGGATTTGTAACTGTTTGAAATAAAGGTAAAGGACCTCTGGACGGTTAAGTCCTGTCAAAGGCAACAATGGGTTGTGGCGCTCATCTCGCTTTCAGGTCGAGGGAGCCGGCGTTTGTCCACAGACAGCTTTCGAACTGCTAGGTTGGCAGGAGCTGGGAGAGAGCAACAGGAGCTCACTCTGTCGCGGGGATTCGAACTGCCGCCCTTCCAGTCAGCAAGCCCAAGAGGCTCAGTGGTTTAGACCACAGCGCCACCCGCATCCCTAATTAGGCAACCTTAATATATACTGAAGGGACGCGGGTGGGTTAAACCACAGAGCCGAGGACTTGCCGATCAGAAGCAATATACTGATATTATGACAGGGACGCGGGTGGCGCTGTGGGTTAAACCACAGAGCCTAGGACTTGCCGATCAGAAGGACGGCGGTTCGAATCCCCACGACGGGGTGAGCTCCCATTGTTTCGTCCCTGCTCCTGCCAACCTAGCAGTTTGAAAGCACGTCAAAGTGCAAGTAGATAAATAGGTACCACTCCGGCGGGAAGGTAAACGGAGTTTCCGTGCGCTGCTCAGAAGCGGCTTAGTCATGCTGGCCACATGACCCGGAAGCTGTACGCCGGCTCCCTCGGCCAATAAAGCGAGATGAGCGCCGCAACCCCAGAGTCGGCCACGACTGGACCTAATGGTCAGGGGTCCCTTTACCTTTACCTAATATATTCTAGATACATTCAAATGTAGAAAGGGCAGTAATATGTTCACATTATATACCCTTCCAACTTTTAAACAACCACATTTGCTGTGCATCTGTTAGTCTCCACATCGCAGGAATATAATTTAGAAGTGTATGAGCACCTACAAATGTCAAGGATTATTTCCAAAGCAAAGTTATTATGAACAATAATATTTCACCTAAAAGAGGACGCTATACAGCAGGCCCACATCAATGAGGTTTTATCAGTATCACATCATTGGCACCTATCTGAATGAGCGAAAACACACACATACAGCCAAGAGTTTCACAGCACCTTAAAGACAAACAAGATTTATTGTGGTATGAGCCTATGTGGACAAAAGCCCACTTTGTCAGATGTTTGAAGTGTTATCAGCAAGAGGATAGAATTAATTAACAAGATGTATATACCGCTTAATTAAGAAATAGCAATTCGTTTAAAGCATATCAAAGAAAACTAAGTGAGCCTAAAGCTTACTAACAGGCCATGAATATCCCAGGGTATCTCTTAACCAAATGACAGGAATAGCCAGCAACTCCCTTCCCACTTTTCTACTTGTACACAGCAGTTTCAGCAGGAGCGTACACAGACCATCAGAAACAGGCTCTCTTCTTTTCGTAATGAAATACAGTGCTTTTGCTCCTACATCCATCCCCCCAGCGAATAAAAGTTCCTGAAGTTTCTCTCCTCTGCAAAAACTAACAAGTAAGATGATGAGGTTCGTTCCAAAGGGTTGCACAGCCGCTGCAGGCTCATTTGTTTCAAATGTCCCCTTGGCGATTCCCACTCCATATCGGAACAAAAATAGCAGATCGGCACAATGGTTGCCTTTAAGCTTGGCAGCGGTTCAGGACGGCAGCCGGTTCCCTTCTTCTCCCTGGCAGAGGCATGAATCAACGTCTGAAAGCCCGATGGCCAGCAAAACCTCAGCTCCTGAGTGCAAACATGCAATTCAAGCCGAGAAAACACCCGGACTTCACTCCTCCTTTTCCCTGCTATTGTTTCCCTCTTTGCGCAGAATTCCCTCCAGCCCTTGAAATGCTATTTTGCACCAAGAAAGCAACAGATGTGTTGGGGGTGGGAGACGGGACAGACACACACAAGCAAATGGTGGCGTTGGGAAGATGGACACCACAGTGTTACTGAGAGCCAGTGTGGTGTAGTGGTTAAGAGCGGTAGATTCGTAATCTGGGGAACCGGGTTCGCGTCTCCGCTCTTCCACATGCAGCTGCTGGGTGACCTTGGGCTAGTCACAGATGGGGGGGGGAGAGGGAAAGGAGATTGTTAGCCGCTTTGAGACTCCTTAAGGGGAGTGAAAGGCGGGATTAAGTTTGAGAACCAAAATATGACTGTTTTACAGGGAGGACATCCAATCAGTTCTTCAGTTTTCTAAGGCAAGGGTAAATTTAAAGAGTATTGGTCCTCATCCAGTATGCTGTCATCGTGTGAGCCCATGACGACATTGACAGGCATATGTTCTGGGTTGGAGAAGTGTCCCAGCCAGGGCCCCAATCTATAATGAATCCTATTTTCTTTTTATCCCTTATGCCAGTGTTTCCCAACCTTGTGCCTCCAGATGTTTTTGGCCTACAACTCCCATCATCCCTGACTAGCAAGACCAGTGGCAAGGGATGATGGGAATTGTAGGCCAAAAACAGCTGGAGGCACAAGGTTGGGAAACACTGCCTTATGCTACAGTCCAAATTAACCAGCCTATAGTTAAAATGCTGCAGTGTTGTAGAGCTACCAGATGTTTCCTTTCTTCTATAAAAAAGAAAGCCAGGGTAGAATCTTGATTATTATTAACTGCACAAGCCGAGTTTTCATCTTATTGATTGCATAATAGATCAACTGCAAAAATAATTATACCTGTGAAAAGCTTGAGCAGGAGGGGGAAGGCGCCCGCAGCGAAGCAATCCTAGTTTGTAATTTTTAAAAAAGAAAGAGTCAGGGATGTGAGCCTGCTTGGGCGAATTAAAACCAAACAGTGGAAGAAACAATCACAAAAGTGCCCTGGCCAGCAGCACACACTAATATCAAGAGAGAAAAGCGGAATTAAAGAGAAGTACCAGGAACGTGGAAATTATCCTTAAGAGATTGCTTAGTTGTTTCTACATCCATATTGTTTACCAATCACTTGTAACCTTTATGTGATTGAAATGTGAATTATGGTGCATATATCTAGGATTTCAAACCAGTTAAAGAATTCCTAGCCAAGCGTAAGTGTTGTTAATGATTCAAATGAATCTGCATGATTGAGAATGATAGCACTGTGTGTGTGTTTGTGTACTCACACATGCATCTTTGTTGTTTTTAAATGATGTCAGCACAGCTGGCATCATAGGAACAGACTTTATATACCACGTCAGACCGCTGGCCCATCTACCGGTAGTTAACATAAAGGTACCCCAGTGTGGTGTAGTGGTTAAGAGTGGTAGACTCGTAATCTGGGGAACCGGGTTCGATTCCCTGCTCCTCCACATGCAGCTGCTGGGTGACCTTGGGCTAGTCACACTTCTCTGAAGTCTCTTAGCCCCACTCACCTCACAGAGTGTTTGTTGTGGGGGAGGAAGGGAAAGGAGAATGTTTCCCGCTTTGAGACTCCTTCGGGTAGTGATAAAGCAGGATATCAAATCCAAACTCTTCTTCTTCCAATGGTCTGACTCTGTACAAGTGAGCTTTCCGTGCTCCTGTGGTTATCTGAATTTCGTGGTGCAGTTTACTTTAAAAAGGGTTATTTTAGTGGATGAATGTGTACAAAATGCCTACAATGATCCTTTTAAACCAGGCCTTTGGTTGATTTGATTGACATCCTATGCCTTTTTAAAATGTGGTGGTGTTTTTTTCGAGGGTATTTTTATTGGGTTGTTGTTTTTATTTTGATTATATATTTTGATTTTCTTCTGTGAACCGCCTCAAGACCTCTGGGTATAGAGCAGTATATAAATTCCAATAATAATAATAATAATAATAATAATAATAATAATAATAATACAGCTGTACCTTGGTTTTCGAACACAACGCATTCTGGAAGTTCAACTTCCGAAAGGTTCAGAAACCAAGGCATGGCTTCCGATTAGCTGCAGGAGTGTCGTGCAGCCAATCGGAAGCTGCGCCGAACTTTTGGCTTCTGAGGCAAAGTCCACAAACCGGAACACCTACTTCCGGGTTTGCGCCGTTCGAGTTCTGAGTTGTTTGTGAACTAAGGTGTTCTAGAACCAAGGAACGACTGTAATGATAATAATAATAATTGATGCAATTTTTATGCATTAAAAAAAACACCACAACAAAAAATCTGTATGGAATAGACACAGATCAGAAGAATCCATCAGTCCCTAACATGAGAGCAGAGCTAGCTTGCTGCCCTCAGCTGTGCTTGAGGACACTGTCCCATAACCAGTATTGGAGGTAAACTTCTACTGCCGCTCAGGTTTTGTTTCCGTATATGGGAGGGGGTGGTAGAATTTCGGTTTCTCTCAAACTTTTCATTTCCCCCACTCTTAAGTCATAGCTGCTTTTAGATTTCCCCATTCTAGTGAATGGGGAACCAGAGAGCTTTTTTTTTACACAGCGTGCCTCAGGAGCGGAACTGCAGATCGAAGCAGAGAGCCCACAGAGCGACTCAGAAAAAGATGAGAATTTAAAATAACATAGCTATAAGGCAAATCTTGAGGTCTGTGAATGTGTCAATATATGCCACCCTTCCTGAATAAATAAAAAGGAAATGAGTTGGTGAAGTCAGTACTGTTTCACTCAAAATATATGTTTTTATGTTCTCTCTTCAACAGAGGGTCTGGATCTCATCCTCGTGCCAGGACTTGGTTTTGACCAAACCGGCAACAGACTGGGAAGAGGAAAGGGGTACTATGATACATACCTGAACAGGTGCAGACAGCATCCCAAAGGAAAACCTTACACAATCGCCTTGGCTTTTAAAGAACAAGTGTGTGACGTGGTCCCTGCGTCTGAAAATGATGTGAAAGTTGATGAAATCCTGTTTGAAGACAACTGACCTGGAACCAGTTTTTATGAATTCCTAAACAGCTGTAGAGCTGGTCCATAACTGCACATTCACCTCTGGCTGCATTAACATGTCTGAAAGGCTCGCTCCAGATTACAGATCAGGTGAAAGGCTCATCTAGTCTAGCATCCTGGTCTTGCGTGGCGAGTTCCCGCCTCCCCCCCCGGTGGAAATAACGACACATGACACAAGTATTTAGGTTATCGTATTTTTTGCTCTATACGACTCACTTTTCCCCTCCTAAAAAGTAAGGGGAAATGCGTGTGCGTCTTATGGAGCGAATGCAGGCTGCACAGCTATCCCAGAAGCCAGAACAGCAAGAGGAAAGCAGCGATCCCTCTTGCTGTTCTGGCTTCTGGGATTCAGAATATTTTTTTTCTTGTTTTCCTCCTCCAAAAACTAGGTGCGTCTTATGGTCTGGTGCATCTTATAGAGCAAAAAATACGGTAATGGGCTAAAAATGGCCACAACTTTATTGGTTACAGGTGATGAGCGGTATTGGCTAGGCATTGGTCCTACCGACTATCCGGCTTCAGCCTGTTTGCTTGAAGACCGGGAAGGGTTAACCGCCAGTAGGTTAACCCTGCTGATGCACATCAACTAGGAGCTCCCCCGGGGTCACTGCTTGGGGGCGTGCCTTGGGCTCTCACCTTCATAGGCTTCGGACAGGACCACGCCCCCCGGAATCCTTTACCAGACTACCCTTCACAATCCGGGGGAGGTGATGGCGCTTCCTCCCCCCTTCATCTACATAACAATACCCCTACCAACGCCTAACCGCCAATCCCAGGAAGTTGTGACGATTTGCTATGAGGTAGGTGAAAAAACCAAGTGGCTGGTGCCAATTTGCCAAGTGGAAAAATTCCTACCAGGCCCCTTGACGGTGACCAACCGAAGTCCATAGCAAAGTCTTATGAACCCTAAAGGGTGGGTGGGTGGGAAAACAGAGGAGCTATGGTGGCCAAAGAGGGAGATCCTTGGCCACACCGATGCTAAATAGCGCAAACCACGCCTCCCCCAGGCCAGCCGATTGGCTGGCTAGGGAGATGATGCGGCCAAGGATTCCCTCAATGGCGCGGAGGCTGGGAGCCAGCCCCCGCGCACATGGGGAGGGTGTGAAGCCCGCAACCCCACCTCCTCTCAAACTTGGAAGTGGCTTTACAGTGGCCAGCCAGTTACCTACAATGGACAGGATCTTAGTGGAAGAGCTCTTTCTCCATGCAAAGCCAGTGGAGTCCACAGAATGTGCAATATAGATGATGATGGTGGTGGTGATGATGATGACGACGACAACAGCAACAACAACAATTTAGTATTTCTACTCCTCCCATCTGACTGGGTTTCCCCAGCCGCTCTGGGAGGCTTTCAACAGAACATTAAAACAGAATAAAACTTTGAACATTAAAAACTTTCCTAAACAACGCTGCCTTCAGGTGTCTCCTAAAAGTCGGATCACATTTTTACACATAACAGAACATGATACATTTGTGTTTTATCGGATATACACCTGTCTCATAATCTGACAATTCAGTGTGATTAAAAGATTATTTGTTTCACCCGAAAGGCTTTGCGTTGAATTAAGATTTGCCTCTCACTCGCCTATAGACATTTTGGTGGCCGTGCGCATTCTTCTTGTAAACCTTTCATTCCAATTTTAACTCAGAAAGAAGTGTTCCACAAAGTGATTAGAAGTTTGGGGGAACGTGTCAGTGGGACTGCTTAAGCCATTTGTAAGGGAGATTAATTTTTGTTCTTGTTCTTTTTCTTACTGTGCTCTTGTGAAACGTTTCCTGTTTACATTCTTATTGTTTTAGAAGTCTGCCGAGCAACCATTTAAAAAATGCTAGTAGAAAATGTTACGAAGTAACTCAGGATTTATTTGTTTGTTTGTTTATAGGATTCATAATCCGCCTTTTGGGAACATGCCCCATAATATGATTAGCACACAGATGCTACGGCAATGAATGGCAGAATGCTGCTCTGACTGAGTCAGGATGAAGTGGGTTGTGACTGACTTAAGCACATCCAGGAGTTCTCTAGTGCAGGACATTTGGGTTTTAGGACATTCTCTTTCCTGTTTCAATGGAGTTGTCAGGGCTGGTGTTGTGCAACATTCCTGAACACGCCAGGAACTAAGAACTGCAATTCGAGACTGACGAGTCCTCAGGAAGAAAGTGCAATCAGGATTAGAGGACCATAGCTAGAAGGCAGAATCAGAGAACAAACATGGAGTTGGGACAGAAGAGCAAGAGACAGCTGAAGGCTCAGCTTTTTTCTACCCAGAATGCTCAAATGGCCAATTTGGTGTGGGATGTAACCCATTAGAGCAGTCAAATACAACATTCCTTGTTTTCCTAGAGTGGACACAGGGGGATGTTACTCCATGCAGTTGAACTTCCTGTTACACCTGGTCTGGAGCATGTGACCAGGTAGGTGGGCGTGACCCTGGCAGACCCTACAAAGGGGCCAGTCACGCAGTCATCTTCCTCTTTTGATGCCATTTCTTCTCTTGGACTACACTGGGATAAATCCTCATATGGGATGAATCCACATCTTCTGTAACTATAAGCTAAAGCAGGCTTCCTCAACCTCAGCCTTCCAGATGTTTTTGACCTACAGCTCACATGAGCCCTAGCTAGCAGGGCCAGTGGTCAGGGATGATGGGAATTCTAGTCTCAAAACTTCTGGAGGGCCAAGGTTGAGGAAGTCTGATCTAAAGCCTGCCTTCAGGGATCATACTGTGAACTGAATGTAAGTAAACTTCCTGTTACTCTTTAAGGAAAGACTGTTGTGTCTTTACTTCTTTTTAAAGAGGGAACAAAAGGGAACTTAAAAGGAATAAACTCCAGTTTGGGCATGCCAGATTGGAATGCTTAACTAAAGAGATTCAAATGAATCTGCAAACTAGCTTCCTGCTGTGTAAAGGGGAATGAGCTCTGATATACGACTCGCTAGCGTGAGTGAGGAAGGATAATACTTAATCAATATATCCTCTCCTACTATCCACAACATTCCCACACCTGGGTGGGTGGGTTTTACCAGGTCTGGAAGGGTTCTGACACCTTCTGTTTAGTGATTCACCACATGAGGCAGCTGCTTACAGTATCCGACACTAGGTTGCTAAACTCATGGGGTGGTAGTCCTCAGTTCCTGACTGTAGGATTGGGGTTAGTCCAACCCTCCAGCATCTTTGCTATTGGTGGCACCCCTAGATAAGGACAAGATGGGGGTAACTGTGCAGCATCGCAGAACACTTTGTCAGCTTTGAAAATAAAATAAGACAATCCCCATAGAGGCTGCCTTGAGCTCTGTGGAGAGATACGAGTATGAATAGGCTCCTGGGAACATGGAAAGCTGCCTTATGCCGAGTGTCAGGCGTGGAGAGTCCTCCCCTCCCTTTGGTAACTTCATAGATAAGACTTAACAAGTGGTTGATAGATTTATAGTCCTTTTATTACAGCGTCATGTTGCAAGCACAAATACACAGCTCTCTGCAAGATGGCTACTCTAAACCAGGCATGGCCAAACTTGGCCCTCCAGCTGTTTTGGGACTAAAACTCCTATCATCCCTAGTTAACAGGAACAGTGGTCAGGGATGATGGGAACTGTAGTCCAAAAACAGCTGGAGGGCCAGGTTTGGCCATGCCTGCTCTAAACCCTCCTTCTGACTTCTGCAGCATTTTGGGAGCCAATGGGAAGTTCCTCCCTCCCTCTGACTCCTTTGCTCTCTGATACGTTCGGACCTCCGAGTCCGTGGAGAGGGGGGTCCCCCACACTCTCAAATGACATCTTGACTAGCTGCCCCCTTCCTTCCGGTTCCCTTGTCATTATATCAAAGGTGGGTAACTCCCCCCTAAGCTGTTCAGCTTCTGTCTCTCTGCTTCTGAACATGCTGCGGACAAGGGTGGGGGGTGACTCTTCCCCCTCCAGCTCCATCAGAGAGAAGCTGGTCTGCCAAGGAATGCATTCCTCAGTCCTTGTCTTCAGACCATTCCCTGACACTGAGTCAGACTGCTGGCCCATCCAGCTCAGTATTGTGTGCACTGACTGGCAGGGCCTTGCAGAGCCAGGCAGAGGCCCGAGCCAGGTAGATAATGTGCCCCCCTTTTTTTACCATGGGGATAACTGAAGTCTTATAAATTTTCTTTTCTGCGAATTCCTGAATTACGGAGGAAAAATCAAGCAACTTCTCCTTATCGTGGTTTATGTTTATCATTTATAAACCAGTTAGGTGTTCTTGAGCCATTGTTGATTGAAAGAAAGACTTAATTCGTTTTAATATATTGAAACTTCTCTCATTGGAGGCCACTGTAGCTGGTAATGATAAGAAAATGCATAATGCAATTAGAAGATTTGGAAAAACGTTTTCGAAATTCAAGTTTAGTATTTGATAGGCAATTTCTTTCAGTGGCCGAGAATTTGAAAGTTTGAAATTCGTATCGAAAGTTCGCTTAAGGAGGAGCACTGAGCCCCCTTTGGAATCGGCGGCCCGGGCCAAGTGGCCCATATGCCCCCCCCCCCGTCTGGGCCTCCTGATTGACAGCAGATGTCCAGGGTTTCAGAGAGGGCTCTCTCCCAACTCTTCCTGGGGACTGAACCTGGGACATCCTGTGCTCAAAACAGATGCTCTACCACTGAGCTGTGGCCCTCCAAATTGGATAGTCCAGGGTGATGGATGCTCCTTGACAGATGGAGCTGTGTGGGCACATGGGTCTCCATTTGCCGGAAACTCATGTAAATGTTGAAAAACAGATGGGAGTTAGGCCATCTGTAGCTCTCCAGCAGGCGCACCAGAAACATCCTAGGAACAAGAAATCCTCAGGGCTTACCCTCTGTACTTATTGTCATGGAATTCTACTCAATATTGATCCAGAGTAGATTCCAATGTGTAGTTAGCAGAGTAACAACTTAAACATGTTGCAGGATTCCCCCCAAAATAGACCAGAGGCAATTAATATTTCATCCAGCAGAGCTTTACTGCTACTGAAGGCAAATGAGCATAATGGTTACAAATTCAAAACATTTAGGATTGGCACAGTCCATAAGAAATTCAGTTGCAGCAGACTTACCTTAAACTTACAATTACTTATAGTAAGTCTAAACTGTAACACTTGAAACAGAACACCACACCAGAAGGAAGAGAAAGAGAAAGTGAAACCCAGGCTCCTTCTGGCCTTACTTTTATAGTCAGCAAGACCTTGACAGAAGAGATAAAAGAACCAGTTTAAACCAGCTGTACTCCGCTTCTCTGAAGGAATAACCCAAACATCATGAACCTTCTGCTT